TCCTCTGCCTCTTCCTCTGCCTCTTCCTCTGCCTCCTCCTCTGCCTCCTCCTCTGCCAATTATTGCCATGAAATCTGTTTCGGAATACACATGTAGGCACATAGATACCCAGGAAGCCATACTGACACAGAGAAACTCTCTCTCTTTCCTTCTTTCTCCTCCCCTCGCCCCTCTCTCGCTCTCCCTCTCTGTCTGTCTAATTCCTTAAAGGGCACCAGCATGCAGTCCCACCTGTGTGGTATGGAAGAGGCTAGAGTTCTGGCGTGTAACCATGTAAATACACTAAACTAAGCTTCCAAATAGTTAGGCTGGTAAGTTTTTGTGCTTTTCCCATAGTCACAAAATATTTTTAAAAGGTATTTTAGTGTTAGCTAAAGTCCACTAATGCAGCAACCAATGAACAGATTAAAAATGTGCTTATTCTTTGCTTTACAGACGAGGAATCATCAGAAATGCTTTGTTTTGCTTAATGCCTCTGCAGCTGACTGTGTGACTGCAGGTACAACAGGCGGGTCTGTCAGGTCTCATAAGGAGGGTCATGCCCAATCCCATCACGGCATGAGCTTGTCATGGGTCTCCTTTGGCCTCAGAACTGATGTCTAGGCAGGCAGCTGTGACATCCTAGAGAAGCGACAGGAGCTTTGATCTTCCCCTAGATCCCCCCACACACAAATACACAGATACGCACATACACATGTACACACATAGATACACACACACACATGCACACATGGTCACATACACACATCTACTACACAGAAAGATACATCCGTGTGCACACACACTTACATATACACACAAACCACAGAGATACACACATGCGTACACTCACATACTCTCATACATGTACACACACACACACACACACACACACACACACACACCCATTGTTGCAATGCCTAAAAAGGCCACATGGGGGAGTATGAGCCCATAAAAGCAAGTGGGTTTTGCAACTGTCCTCTCGCAGTTGATCTAACCTATTAATGCACAGCTTGCCCTGTTCCTGTGGGTCTTTATGTCCTGCTTTTTCATTTCTCCTAAAAGGCCTCAGTTTATAAACTATGCCCACTAAAATTTGTTTTGTTTATGGAATGTAATTTTTTGTTCTTCACAGGATTTGATCCCTTTAACAGGAAGGAAACTTGCTGCTTAGAGCTTATACAGCCTGCTGCTACACTTAGCTGCATGTGACTTTGTGTGTGCATGTGTGTGTGTGTGTACCTGTGTGTGTGTACATGTGAGGGTGTATGTGTGTGTCTCTCTGTGCATGTGCATATCTGTGTATTTGTGGGAGAGATTAAGCCAGGATTAAGGGCCCTGAATGCCTTGGGAAAGCATCAGAGTCTCTAGGGTTGTCAAGAGCGGCAGTGGAGGTGGTTGGGGATTTGGTTGTGGATTTCAGCTCTAGCAGTAGCACGGATCACTTGGGCTTGGGAACAGAAGGCACAATATCTGCGGGATGTACACTAGAGCCATGGAGAGAGGAAGCCATAAGACAGATGAAAGTTGGGTGGGGTGATGTGGGGAGAGGACCCACCAAACCTTTGCAAAGATGCACTGAAGTGAGGAGGGGCACGGGAACATCATCCTTGCCAGACTCTCTAGCAGGAAGTGATGTGGGTGGGGAGGTAGAAGAGGCGTTAAGCAGAGGCTAGTCAGAACTGGGCTAGAAACCAGGCAGCCGAGTTACGGGTGGGGTAAAGATGAGCAAGATCCTGCTAAGAGAGAACGGCAGGCCCTACTGTATAGGGACAGTAAGTCTGTGTCACCAGGAAGGAAGCCAAGACAGGCAGGCATGGAGCCCTGTAGAGAAAGTAGAACCCAGTGGAAAGTCTCAGGACAGCTAGAAGTTAAGGATGACATGCGTGGCAGAGTGGGTTCCCTCAGACAGGGACTGCAGAAGAGTGTGTGTGTGTTTCAGAGGTCTCTGGGTGTCAGGGGCCCTGGGGATCTGAGGTGGGTCTGGCTAGGGACAGCTGCATATTCAAGGCTGGGCTAAGGGCAATGACTGTCCCACCACAACCGAAGAAGGCCACACACTGACATCAAGATCATGATCCCTGCAGAGACAGCCCATTCTGAGCCCCTAGGCTAGTCACTCTCAACCTTCCTAAAGATTCCACCCTTTAACACAGTTCCTCATGCTGTGGTGACCCCCAGTCATAAAATTATTTCATTCCTACTTCATAACTGTAGTTTTGCTACTGTTATGAATTGTAATGTGAGTATATGATATGCAGGATATCTGATGTGTGACCCCAAAGGAGAGCCATCATGTGTCGGTGGCATCTGCGGCTTTGCTGAGTCCCTCCCTGTAGGAAGTCCATACGTATGTAGCCTTGCCATGCTGGACAAGGGGACTTTGCAGGCTGGACAAGGGGACTCTGCAGAGGTGCCTGGGCTGGGAATGGTGAGCTAGGGACGATCTCCTGGGTCACACTGGTAGTTCAGCATAACTGCATGTGTCTTTGTAAGGAGATAATTTCTCACATCTCTGACAGGGGAATGTGGAAGAGGGAGCCACAGCCCGGGGACAGGACTGTGACAGAAGTTTCCCTGCCCAATCTATTTGCAGCTAGAGGCCTATGACTGGACAGGAAAAAGGGAGACAGAGCTAAGGGTGGCAGAGAGATGAAGGGACAGGGAGAGGTGAAATGGCTGTGGACGTGGACCCATGTGGCATCAAGTCAATTGGTATATATGAAATCTAAAGGTTAGGACTATTGGGATAGCCTTCTAAATTGTGCGGGCATCTTGTGATTTGAGTGTTTGCTGATATATAAATCCGTTGGTTAACTTTAAGCATTAAGAGTCTTATTTCTACTGGGTACTGGGTGTCGTGATATCTACCTCGATGGCGGTGATATCTACCTCGATGGCGGTTGTTGTCTGGGGTTAAGCTGAGCGCCTTGGGGGTGTCGGAGTTGGCCCAGGGGCCATGCTTAGAGCCGTGGAGGCCTCAGAGCTGGCTAGCGGAGGCAGCAGCCACACCAATATCTCATGGGCCCCGGGCTAGCGCCACCGAGGCAGCCAGCCAGTGCCAGACTCTAGCGAAGGAACATGGCAGCTGAGCTGGGAGCCAGCAGTCGTCCTTTTTTAAATTTCCCGCTACACAGGACAGCCTGTAGAAAGGCCTGCCTAGAGGAGTATTGCTTTTTTTGTTGTTGGTTTGTTTGTTTGTTTTTCGAGACAGGATTTCTCTGTGTAGCCCTGGCTCTCCTGGAACTCACTCTGTAGACCAGGCTGGCCTCGAACTCAGAAATCCGCCTGCCTCTGCCTCCCAAGTGCTGGGATTAAAGGCGTGAGCCACCACTGCCCTGGCGTTTTGTTTTGTTTTGTTTGTAAGTATTGCTATGTCTATACCTCTGCTTTAGCCCCCATACCGTCCCCAGTTCCTGACTGCCAGATCAGTAGGGTGATATTTATGTAAACCCAGTCTTTGTGTGCTACAACAGGAAACTAGTTTGCAGGAACCCAGCCCTGACCCAGGAACTCCATCAGCAGTCTTACCCTGGTGATACCCAGTGCCCCGACATTCTCACTGTAGGATGTGGTACCATTCCCGGTCCCCCAGGCCCCTGCCAGCAGGCAGCCAAGGCCCTCGATGCCAATGCCACGGTTGATGGCATGCTTTGGAGGGGGTGGGGCTCCAACCAGTCGGGCACAGGCATGATAATCACCCACAGATTCCACCATGGAGGAGATCACTCCAGCAATGATTCCAAAGACGCCGGCCAGGCTGACGGTGGGGAGGCCCCACTGTCCTGCAGAGGGAACACAAGGGGAATGTCTGGGCAGAGGAAGGTGCTAGATCCCATGTCATTTCTTTGTCAGAAGGGTCTCTAGAAGTTTATTAAGCCTGAGAAGGTCTTGACTGTCCAGAGGGTTTGGCACCTCCTGCCTGCTCTTCTACCCTGAGGATAGAAATGGAGCCTCCTTCAAAGGACACCTTGGAGTTGTTGGAAACTAAAAGTCTCTACTAGAAAGACATATCCATGAACCAGGCTGGCCCATCCTTCAGCCCTAGTTACTTTCAGATACTTCAAGGTGAGACTGGAAGTGGTCTAAAGGAAGCTTCCATTGCTCCCAAAATATTCCAACTCAGCCCTAAGCCTACCAGGACCTATCAGGAGACCCAAATATCTGCCTGGAGGTCAGGGCCTCTCTCTTGCATCTTCTCTTGCATGCCCCAAAGCCAAGGGTTCCCAAGCCAAGGGGTTCTGGGCAAGATGGAGGAGGGTTGGGGCCTTGGACTGGTTCTTGGAAAGGTCTTGGAATAACAGCATTTAGCCTACTGTTCCCAAGGGCTTTTTAGAACAGCCTGGGCTTAGTGGGTAATGTCCATAATCACAGTTTCTCAAGAGGATGAGGCAGGAGGATCACAAGTTTAAGGCTTGCCTGGGCTGTGGAGTGAATTCAAGGTCAGCATGAGCAACTTTGCAGTACTTTGTCTCAAAAAGCAAAAAGATAGCTGAGGCTTTGTCTCAGAGATGTAGAAATTGTGTGGCCAACATGGAACCTGGGCTCATTCCCGATAATATGTGCACACCTTAGAACAACCTGGAATCTCAGTCCTTACCCTCTCCTCTTAGGGGTTACATATCATCTCCCCGGAGCCCATCTTTCCTTGCAATCTCTTCCCAACCCTTTTCAACCCTCCATCCAGTGCCTTGAATCCCACAGACGGTCCCAGGAAACCCGTGTCCCAAATGATAAGGACACCCATTTCTCCTCACCTGGGTAAGGGAAGCGGAACCAGGGGGCCTGGCTCAGAACACTGCCTTTGGTGTCTGTACGGGCCATGTGTCCATATGCCATGGGGGACTTGGGGAGGGTGTTGGTGACAGTGAGCACGAAACAAAAGAGCCATGAGAGGCACAGAGCTAGCAGCACCTGCGAAAGGGAGATGCCTGTCACACTCCGCCTGCTCCACCCCTTCCTCTATATGGGGGTGCAGGAGTTCTGAGACCAAGGTGTGCTGGGTTACTGACTTTGCTACTGACAATAGAAATCTGCTGTGTCCATGGGTAAGTTAGCACATTAAGGGAGCAGACTAGAAACAGAGACAGAAATTTCTCTATGGAAAGAGACCTCGGGCAGAGTGGGACAGAAGTGTGATGTTGGGCCGAGCCTGTGACAAAAGGGTCGCAATCTGGCTCTCGCACCATGTACTTGTCTTCATCTGTGCCGTGGGATTAGACCTGATCCTCTAACAGAGCCTGAAACAAAGTGGAATCCCAAAACTTTTCGAATTCTCCCAGTGGGAGAGCATTGTGCGATATGAAGCTGTTCCTTCTGGGGGTCAGAGAGAAACATGTGGAAGTATCTTTCTAGAGAGCTCTGAGAAAGAAGGTACCCATAAGTCATTAGAGGTGAAGCTGTTGTTTTAAGTACTTGGCTATGAGGACAGCCAGGTGCTAAGGCCATCTGTCTTACACACACACACACACACACACACACACACCTCTCTCAGCCTCCTAAGAAAAGCCTCCAGAGAGGAGAGAGCATCGGTTTTGGAGCTAGCCAGGCATAGGGAACTTTCCCTACCTGCTCCAGGTGAGCCAACCAAGAGTGGAAAGTGGGTGAGGGGCAGTTCTTACAGGGAAGACCTGAAACAGGTTGAACTTGGAGATGTGACACTTCTTCTCTCCTCCATAAACGGGCACAGGAACCATGACGTTTTTGAGGTACTGAGAAAAGAGCACGATGAGGAAGATGGTCCTGAAACAGAAACAGACAACCATGCCTACTTTGGTGGGCTGGGATCCTCATGGTGTGGGCAAGGTACCCCAAGGAATGGCCCAGGAGGCTGAGCCATCATGTGCCAGTGGCATCAGTGGCTTTGCCGAGGCCCTGTAGAAAGCACTGGCAAGAGTCTTGCCATCCTTCAAGAGTGGTTGAGCCCCAGTGGGAGATGCTGTTGGCTGAGGGAAATAATGGCCCAAGGGACTGTCACTTCCGGGAGTCAGAGAGAAATGAACTGCCGGCAGGGGGAGCAAGCCAGCCATCACTGAGGCCAGAGTCAGATGTCTCCCAGGCAGTTCTGCATCCCTGATGCCTGTTGCACCTCCTTTTGGACCACAGGGGGCAGGGTGAATGGGAATAGCATCCCTAAGCTGAGTGTAAATGCTAGAGGCTTCATTTCCCCGGGAGAGCTTCTCCAAGCATCCTTGGCTGTCATTAATTACACCGTGCAAACAGCCGAGCCCTGCACACGCACAGCATCCTCTGGCTCAAGGCTGTCTTGCAGGTTGTTAGACCTCAGCCTTCTCTCATAGACTGCAACAAGCTTGCAAAGTGGGACAATTTTCTGTGTCTGTCTCACCTCACTGAAATCCCAGCTGGCAGCGGACCAGTAAAGTCAAGCTTTCATAAACACCACATGTTCTTATACATGGTTGTGATGAACAGGTTGACTATGTGAACCAACAAGAGTGAAATATCTAATAGTAATAATAAATTTTAAGTCTCAACGGTGACGCTTTCGAAGGTATGATAATGCCCATGGAAGTATTGATAAGCCACGAGGGTTTACCAATATCCTGGACTCCCATAAGTGTTTAGTGGGTAACTTTCCACCAAACAGGACTGAGATGGCCCACCTTTCTTAGAGAATACTTACAGGGCAGAAATCCCCCAGTGGATCCCAGCATCACTGCCAGCAGAGTCAAAGAGAGGCAGGGCCACGAGGGTAATGGTCGGAGCAATGGTCAGGGGGCCGATGAAGCGCATGAGAAACCCAATGAGGCCGGAGAAACCCACCAGCATCTGGACACAGGAAGCCACCATGACAGCACCCTGCAACTGAAGGAAAGGTGTGGGCTTCAGCAGGGACCAGGCCACTGCACACTGCCCAACCTGATCACACCTTGTCCCCAGGTAGTACACAGGCCAAGATAGACCACCAAGGGATGTCCAGTCAGGGGTCTCTGATCTCACACGTTAACTTAGCTACCGCCTTCAGGAAACAGGATTCTCAATTACTTGTGGATCACGGTGGCTGTGGCGAGGAAGACTCGTCACGAGGACAGCAGGGTACCTGGCATCTTGCTTTTCTTCTTTTCTGTCCTTCCACTTTCTGTGCCACGTAGTCAGAAACTTTTCCCACAGTCAGAATATTCTAGGCACGGGTAGCTATGTGGGCAGTGTTTGCAGTGTTCCCCGGGCAAGACAAAAATAAGCAAGCCACATTCCATGGAACTTCACTTTCAGGCGATGCAATTGGAATTTCATAACATTTTGATGGGTCGGGGTATTTGATTCCTTTTTCTGTATCTCAAAATTACCACTGAAAGTGGAAAACCACTCTTAGTGTGTGGGCTGTTGGGGAGCAATGAACAGGCCAGGTTTGGGTGTGTGCTGCTCAATCTGTTGGGTTGAATGAGTCTCTCTCCCTTTTTGCTTTAATGGCGTGGATGGTAACAACTCTTCTATTTTCAAATATTTTATTTTGAGACAGGGTCTCCTGTGGTCCAGGCTAACCTTGAACTTACTATGTAGCTAAAGATGACTAGGAATTTGTGTCTCTCCTGCCCCGACCTCCAGAGTGCTAGCATTATAGATGGCTGCTGAAGATCAAACCCAGGGTTTTGCGCATGCTAGGTGAACACTCTACCAACTGAGATGCCCTATTTTTATTCTTAGAGAGTTATTGTTAAGTTTTAAACTATGACTACATTGCTACAGGCTTGTGTGCTTGAACACCTGATTCCCAGTTAGTGCTGCTGTTTGGGAGACCATCGATCAAGCCTTTGGGATGGGTGATCTTTGCGGCCAAAGTGGGGATGGGAGAGCCGTTAAGGTCCAGCCTTGGTTTCTGCCTAGCTCTCTCTGCTTCCTGATCCCTCCAGGTGTGAGCAGGTCACACCACAGGCTGCTACCGCCAAGGACCGCTGTGGTAGACTTTGGTACATCTTCCCCATCATGGTGGACTGTATCCTCGGATCTGGGAGCCAAACAAAACCCTCCTCCAGCCTCAAGTCACTTCCGTTAGGTCTTTCATCACAGCAGTGAGAGAAGTAACCTAAGCTTATTTAAAAGATCCCAGCCTGGCGGTGGTGGCGCACCTTTAATCCCAGCACTTGGGAGGCAGAGGCAGGCGGATTTCTGAGTTCTAGTTAATATGAGCCGATTTCTGATATAGTGGCATGACTGTTACGCGGTAGCCAACCACTGTCTGCTTGGATTTGAGAGACGATTCCTGCCTGATACCGTAAACCTGGCAAAAGCCCATGGCTTGTATGTAAGTCACAGGCCCTGAGGAGGGGGCTAGTACTACTTTGCTAAATAGACAAAGTATCTTCTAGATGTTTGTGTTTATATCCATGGATTTCTATAGCTGGGAAAGGAATTTTTTTTTCTCGGTACTTTGAGGATTTGGCATTATCTTATCGTCCCAGGTATTGTTAGGGAAAAGGACACCAAAGGCCTGGTTCTTAGCCTTTTGTAGGTCATTTTTAAAATTTTCTTATTGTTTGTATGTGTGTATACACGTGTGTACACATAGCAGTTAGAGGTTAAGTAAAAGTCTTCCTTAATTCTTTACCACCTCACCTGTTTGTTTGTTTGTTTGTTTGTTTGTTTGTTTGAGGCAGGGTCTCACTCTGTCCAGGCTGGCCTCAGCCTGTGCTATCACACCCAGCTTCCCCTTACTTTTTTGAGATCATGTGGCTTACTGAATCTGAAGCTCACTGATTGGCTGGAAAGTCCGGTACTGGCGCGTGCCCCACACCCTCCCTTTGTGCAGTTTTATGAGTTAGGGATCTGAACTCTGGTGTCCACGCTAGCATCTCTCCCACCGAGCTGCCGAGCTGTCTCCCAGTCCTGCTTCTCTCTCTCGGCGCACTTACCGGCCTTTGTGTACTTGGTGTTACCGTTTCATCGCGGGTGTCTGGCTGTGGGCTGATGTTTAGCTAGCCCGCTGAGGACTTCCCATGCTTTCTTTCGGTCTGTGTCTTCCCCGACTCTAAACTATTCATCATTTCTCTCTTTAATACTGCTGCTTCTCTGTTTTCTCACCATTTTCCTGAGTTCCTATTAGGAGGATTTTCCTTTTAGCCCCACACTTTGTCACCTTGGTTTCAGGCTTTCTGCTCTCTACCATTCACAGCCACCGTCTTGATTATTCTCCTGCTGACCCTTCACTTCTGACTCTCTTTTCGGCTGTGTCTAAATTCTTTCTAGCTATTAAGTTCATTTTAAAACAGCATTTGAAAACATCATTTTATGCGTTGGCACTGTGGACTGGGGCTCCATGTGCCATGACACTGGACAGTTAAAGTTATTACTGGTCACCTCTCCTATGTCTCTTACATCCCCTCCCCCACCTCTATTTCTTTAAAAACCAAAATCTCTGTTCACTTTTCTTTGACAGTTCCCTCAATCTCAGCTTTCCTTGTGGCTGTTTTCATCAGTGACTGGCCGGCCCTGTGCTGCACAGTCAGGAACTGAGGTGTGTAGAGATGAATGCAGTTCAGTAGACACAGACACGGGGATTCCATTCCATCCCAAGAGTGAATTAAACAACCGAGCACTGATCAATTACAGCAAAGAGGTTGACATAACAGGGCTTTCTTTCTCTGTTAATCAATACTGTGGGAAACCTTGGTCAGCAGAAAGAGCTAATGATGTACCACAGACAGAACTGGCTTTGTGGCTCATTATGCTGGGATTCTTGAGAATTATGTTAGGGGTAGGAAGTGACCCTCCCCATCCCCCAGGCCACTGGAATCCAGCCCTAGACCCTGCGTTATACAGTAGGACTCAGACTTTATGTGAATGTCCGAGAAGGAAAATGTTTTAGATTGTGAGCAGCACCTGTGGTTTCTGCCTCATAGTATTTTTTTTCAAACAACCTTTTTGGAATAGAAAAGTCATTCTTCATCCATGGCAATAAAAGAATGGGCCACAGAGGCCGGAAGGGTGGCTCAGTGGTTACAGGCACTTGCTGTTCCTATAAGGGACCCAGATTTATTTCCTAGCACCTACATGCTGGTTAGCAACCACCCTTAACTCCAGTTCCAGGGGATCTGAAGCCCTCTTCTGGCCTATGAGGTCACTACATGCATGAAAATGTGTGCATACATACATGCAGGGAAAACACTCATACATATAAAAAGAAAAACTAAAACAGGCCATAGGTGAGATTTGATCCAAGACCCATAGTTTTCGGACTCCTGATAAAGGACTCCCTGCATGTCACAAGTACACAAAAAACAACACATTAATTAAATATGAATGTCACTTGCACGCTGCCTCCTGGAACACTCAAGAGTGGGGTTGAGGCCTGGCTGTCCTCTATTCCCGTGGTCTCCATGCAAGCAGCTCCACAATCTCTCCTGACGTCACGTTTTGTTTTCAGTTTCTTACTGGAGTGTTTTTCTCTCTCCCTCCCAAGACACACACACACACACACACCACTGGAATGCCGGCTCGCTCAGTGTTCCACATTGACCCTTGCTGTGTCCGTGGATTAAGTAAACCATCTCTTTTACGGGGAGTTGGATAAGAAATGTCGAGCAGGTGCATCGACTCCGCAGCCAGCTCTCCCGTTACCTCTCGGATCCTCTTCTGCCACTCCTCAGTGAATTCAGGAGAGCTGGTGTTCACCTGGCTGGCATTGAGAGTCCACTCTGGGCATTTCCAGGCAGGAAGGGACAGCATGGCCAGAGAGGGAGCCACAAAGGCAAAGGTCCCTCCTTGAAGAATTGGCAGCCTAAAGGAAGGCAAAGCCGTGGTTACCACCAAGATCCTCCCACACTGGCCTGTCCCAAGCCCCAAAGTGCTTTTAAGCCCAATCCCTAGCTCAGTGTCAACACATGGCCCCTGCTCCTTCAGTTACAGAGAACTCCTGCTGAGTTCCAAGGCAATGCCATGAAGCCTGTGTGACTCTGGACAGTTAGCAGCAGTGGTCAGGGAAAAGACATCTAGACCTGGAGGAGGAGGGAGTCAGGTTCTGAGCCCTGTGTAAAGGCAGCATGGAACTTAGAGAATACAGTGGGTACCACTCTCTACCTCAGGCCCAGAGCATCCTCCCCTGACCCCAGCACAATTCACCCCATGCAGTTCTCCATCTCATGTCCCAACAAGTCATTTCTGCACTGGTGAGAGTTGTGCAGCCTCAGATCTGAGCTGCTGTGCTCCTATGAACCAAGGACAATCTTGGGCCTCTGCCCTCAGATTCCTTACCACAACAGGCTTAGCTGGGCGGTGGTGGTGCACACCTTTAATCCCAGCACTTGGGAGGCAGAGGCAGATTTCTGAGTTCAAGGTCAAAAAAAAAAAAAAAAAAGACAACAGGCTTAAGGGCCGTTCTCCTAAGTGTCACCTCCAGATGACCCTCTGACTCCTGGAGAGCTTCTTCCTCTAGCCTCTTGGACAACAAGCAGGGCTTACCTACACTGCACAGAAGCCCATATAGTAAGTAAGCAGCTTTCAACAACTTGTTCAATAGCAGGCTAGGTTTACCTACCTCGTCGCCATCTCTGGACAATAGAATTTGGGTGTATAAAGGACTCTACCACCTTGAATACAGCTGTCAGTGTAATCTACTGAATCTCAGCTTGTGGGCAGGTACAGGTGGGGGGATACATAGGTACATGTCTGCATATGGTGAGGCCAGAGGACCATCCTGAGTATGGGCCCTTAGGCACTGTCCACGTTATTAGTTTTTAACCACCTGTCTCTGTCTCCTCAGCTCTGGCATTACAAGTGTCCATCACCAAGGTCATTTTTTGTCTTGTTGTTTGTTGGGTCTTTTTGTTTGTTTGATATTTTGGTTTTGTTGTTTTTGTGGGTTCTGGAAATCAGTTCTGTGTCCTTGCAAAGCAAACAGATTCACTATTCATCTTTGAGCTCAGGTAAGGCCAACATGCAGCTAAAGTTTAGACATAAAAATCTAGCCATCGAGTTCCAAAGTAAAATAGATCACAGGGTGCAGAGAGGGTTGGAACACACAGGTGGTATTGTGTTAATATATGTACATGAACATACATGTGTGACTGTGTTCCTTCTAGAATCCTCAAGCTAATGTCCCTGAGCATGGGGACAGAAAGGAGAAACCATTCATCAAATGCTCACCGAGGACTTGCTATGTGGCAGGCATAGGTGCTGGGATCAGCGCTAGGATGGAGAGGTGACACCCCTGTACAGTCATCACCCTTATCCGTGGTTTTGGTTACATGGAGTCAAATGTACTCTGAAAACATTAGTATTTATCTCAAGTCTTTAAAAAGAGATCATCTCAAAAAACAAACAAACAAACAAACAAATACATGAATAAATAAATATGAAAAGAGATCATTGTCATGATAAGGTATCATGATTATTATCATAGTCATATTTTATTTTTGGTCATTGAATTAATCTCCTACTGCGCCTATTCATAAACCAAGCTCTATCAGTACATATGTACAGGAAAGGACATAGCATCTCAGAGTTCAGCATTAAGCGCAATTCCAAGTGTTCACTGGGTTTTGGTTTTTTTGTTTTTGTTTTTTGTTTTTTTGTGGGTTTTTTTGTTTGTTTGTTTTGTTTTTTGGGGTTTTTTTGTTTTTGGTTTTTTGGTTTTTTTTTGGTTTTTTGAGACAGGGTTTCTCTGTGTAGTCCTGGCTGTCCTGAAACTCACTCTGTAGACCAGGCTGGCCTCGAACTCAGAAATCCGCCTGCCTCTGCCTCCCAAGTGCTGGGACTAAAGGCATGCGCATTCACTGGGTTTTGTAACTGGTCCCTTTGGACAAAGATGAGCCAGCTCTACTTTTGCTGCTGTCTCTCTAGCAGGAATACCCATGCAGCCGTGACCTCACAGAGTAACAATTCATAAGAACTTGCTGTCTCTGATCACTATAAATGCTCTGATTACACTTACAAACCACCCACCATGGGAGTGAGTCCCTGGGCCCTAGCCATTTCCTTATCACAGTACCCAGGAGGGCAGGAACCCCTCCAGCCATACCGAAAGTTTGCAGAAAGTTTTTTTTTTTTAAATCATTTGGGTTTCTCCTCATTTTGTAGGTATGGAATAAAGCTTTTACAAGTGTCCATTGGTATTTCATTAGACCATCGAAGACCTGCATTTGTGTGTGCTTTTATGGACATCTTTACTCTCTATAAACTCACTGCAAAATTTTGATATTGACAAAATCCAGTTCTAACAATTCTTGCCTAAAGATGGTGGATTTATTTTTTTGCTTTACACTTTGTTTGTGTGTATGCACGCATGTGTGTGGTAGCCAGGGAATGACCATCAGAAGGTAATTGTTTTCTACCATTGTGGGTCTGGGGATCAAACCCAGGACATCAGGCTTGGTGAACAAGCGCCTTTATTCACTGAGCCATGTTGCTGGCCCTCATTTTCATTTTTAAAAAGTGTTTTCTAGGTAGGGAAGGCAGCTCAATATTTAGGGGCACCTGCTGCTCTTCCAGGGGACCCAAATTTACGTGTCCCCACACACACGTAGGGCGGCTCACACTGCTCAGAGTCTCCATCTGCTCTCGGGGCAGTGCTGGTATTTGTGAGCTAACCCTGGTGTGCTTCTCTGTGCCTGTTTCGTGCGGTACCACAATGTGTGTTAGGCAGAGGGGCTCACTTTTATCGGCTCGACGAACTCATTTCGAAACGTGTCTTACTAGTGTTATTGGGGGATCTACTTCAGGTCTCTGTGTCCAGTCTTCGTTTTGTTCCGGCTTTGTTAGATTTGATTAACTGGGCATGCTCTCTGGGTCCCGGACAAGCAGCCTATTAATTTTTACCTCTTTGTTTATAATTCATCCTGTTCCGAACAGGAATTGCAGGCATGTCAATGTGCTATGACACAGCAAGGACTTACACAGTATATCCAGCCCCTCCAGTTTTATTCCCATTTTCCACTCCATTCCAATTTAAATGATCACCACAGGGAGAGCGGACCAATCTCAGATGGGTGGGGTTGGTACCAATCTCCATTGCTGCCATTACGACTCCCCACAGAAAACACAGGCAGACTTGTTCCACCTGCTCTCCGCTTCCCTCCATTACATGTGTGTGCTGTGTGTGATGCGTGTACATGTTTTTAAATGTGCATGCATATATGTGTATATTCATGTGTAAGCCTCTGTGGGTGCTGCACATGTATGGAACATAGACATACATGTATGCAAAACACCCATAAAAATAAAATTAAAATAAGTACTTCAAAGGATGGAGGATCTTTAAGACCCCATTTCCTCAAAAATAAAAACCAAACTTGTCTCTATAACAGGTAATGGAGACAATCTGGGTTTTAGCCTCTACCCCTCAAAGGCCCTAATTTACCTGTCTCACAGCTAAATTAACATACACTCTAATCTTTACCTAATGAGGAAGAAACCCTCTCCTCTGGGATGGCCAAACTGTAAATGAATTAAATCCCCCTCAATTTCTGTTCCCTAGTTCCTCTGGCATCCAGGAGGCTGAGGTGGTGGTCTGTGAACCTGAGTAGCCAGTATCCTGACATGGCATCCATCATGTTGAAAACATGAATACAAGTGTGCTTCTGTCCTCAATGGCCCCTCCTCATTCCAACCTCAACTGTGTAGCAGAGGACGACCTTGAACTACTGATCCCCCTGCCTCTACTTTTTCAGTGTTGGAGTTACAGGTACGCACCTAAGGATTGATTGAACCTAGGGCCCCCAGAATGCCATACAAGCACTTCATCAGCTGATCTACCTCCCCAGCCCACACCATTCTTCAAGTGTCAGATGCTCTGTAACTTCCTAAGCAAAGTCATCTACGTATTTTTCTCGCTACCGCGCCCCTTAAAATACAACAGTATTATGCTTGCTACAGTGCCTGTAATTCTTTATTTGTATGTCTGATTCCTTTAAAAACTGTGTATGTATGTGTGCCTATGTACATAAGGGCGGCACCCATGGAGGCCGGAAAAGGGTGTCAGGTGTCCTAGAACTGGAGTTTCAGGCAATCGTGACAACTGACATGCTGGGAACTGAACTTAGGACCTCTGCAAGAGAAATATTCATTCTTAAGACTTGTTTCTTCCACTCCTGATTCCTCTTTTGAGAGCCTCAGCCCCTTGAGAGGAAAAAAATCACAAACAAGTACCAGCCCTTATTGATAGCAGACCGTCATGAAGCAAAAGGATAACTACAACTAGTTACACTGATTTCGGGGTCTGAGCACTGACTCTCATTTCCCAGCTACTTGTTCCTGTGGAAGCTGATATGATTTACTGTGTAGACCAAAAGTTGGTACTCTCTCTAACTTAAATTTGTTTCTTCCTTGGCCTCAATCTGATGGTATTTATTAGAAGAGGAGGCCTCTGGGAAGGACTTGGGTTTAAATGAAGTCATGCAGATAAGGCCTCCCCCCAAGAGAAGATTAGTATGTTTATGAAGAGAAAAAAACAAGATGAGAGCTTCTACTACATGGGGACCCAGCAGGAAGGCGGTTGCCTGGAAGCCAGAAGCTGGCTCTCACCAGAGATGAACCATGAGATGTCAGATCTCCAACCCAGAACCACAAGAAAAACACAGTTCTGTTGGGTGAACAGAACTACTCAGGAAGGAAAAAAACAAAAAGGCACGCTATGATTCTATAACACTGACTGACTGGTTAAAACTTCCTAATTGTCAGGGCTGAGGAGATAGCTCAGCAGGAAGAGGCACTGGCTGCCCAATGTTGCAAGCCTGGTTCCTGGAACACACATAAAGGTGGAAGGAGAGAAGTGGTTCCACAAAG